AAAATTATATAAAAATAAAACACGATCTGCACAACTAACTAGTCATACATCATATACATAAACAGTATTATTATACTATAAACTATAAACTATACACTATACACTATAAATTGTCCTAATTCTCTTATTATTTTTACTAGTAGTAGTATTAGTATCAGTATCAGTATTATTTTTCATGTTCAATATAATATATATAATTTATCAAATTTCCTATTTTCACAATAAAATAATTTTTTTTTAGAAAAAAAATATTTATATTTATATATATATATGATTAATTACCATTTATAAAACAAACTAAGCTCTATTTTTTTGTTGTTGTTCATATTCGTCAATTTTAAGCAACTATTTTTTTTTCAAAAAAATAAAAAAATTGTGGAAACTTTTGAGGAAAATCATTTACCGCAAACTTATTATTAGCAGATCTGCAAATCGATCGATACATTGAAGCATATAGTTAGTAGTAGTAGTAGTAGGATCGGAAATCCTTAGGAGTCTGTGTGTGTGTGTAAGTGGGTGTGTGTACGTTGGGCTAGTGGAACTTTAGAAATTGGATGATAGAATAATTACATATATACATATATATACATAAATAATGATTAATTTGAATTCGATCAGAAGATTTATATTCTTTTAGGAAGATATATATGTGTATATATGTATATATGCTATTATGTGTAGAATATGCAGCTTGATATTTATTGTGTGTGCTTTGTTGTTTGTGGCGGGAAAAAATGAAACAAGTCATCATCACCATCATCATTATTCAATTAACTAACATAAACACTAAAACTTTAAGCAAAATCTTCATCATCATCATTATCGTAGCGATGACAGTGATAAATAGATATCTGTTATTAGTTCAGTCGAAAGGAAAAAAAAATCAAACAGAATAGAGGTGTTATCGATGTGATTCGATGTTTTCAATAAATATATGTAGATATATATGTATATATATATACTGATCTCCGTCTAATTGCGGTCATTTTAATAAGGTGTGTTGTACTTTTGAGTGTGTGTGTGTGTGAGTGTACTTTTAGCCAAACCAAAAGCCGTCATTTGCCTTTGAAGTTCTTATTTTGTAATTTGTTTGTATTCTCTCTCTCTCTCTCGTTCAAAAGAACAATGACACCATTCACTGTCTAGTAGCAGGCAAACTAAGTCAATTTCACCTTTGTCAATGAGAAATAGATCACACACAAAAAAAAAAATAAAACAATTCTAATTTGTTCTGTATTTTTTTTGAAAAGAAAATGAACGGTGTATCCTTAAAATTAATTAGGGAAATTACTATGGATCAGAGTTTTTTGTCCACAAATGAAAACCTATTTGATACACAAGTTTATATTTGAATCGAAAATCAAATGACAAACAGTACTTACTATTTTTCAACTTAATCCGACTCAGCCGAGTGTAGACAGTAACTACTACCGAAAACAGTGGATGAGGTTGCGAAAAAAAAACTACATTAGGTACCGTCAACTCACAGAGTTACGGGTTAGTCGTGGGAGACCAAAGGTACTGGGTTCGAATGCTGCTGGTAGTATTGTGTTGCACGCTACTTATAAGTAGTATACGACGCGAGTGTAAACGTAATGTCTGGCAGCAGAAGATGGGGGAAGATCAATACAAGAAGAGTGGGAACACAATGGAATTTGTATGAAACGCATGAATAGTGAAATGTCAGACAATGGATTGATGATGGATTGAAGATTTGCAAATTAACGATTTACGATATGGCTTTCCTATTTTACTGAGTAACTCTGTAATTTTCGTTAAATACAATTCAGTCGCATTCACCTGTGTTCTCCTTCACTACACAGTATGAATGATGAATACATATTGTTGGCGAGTACTATATCTGACAGGACAAGAGAGCTATCCAGTGTTGTTTCCAGGTTTCTTCTAATGGTGGTCTCTGATTTCGGTAATAGATACACGCTTCGCTTTTTTTTCTTCCTGAGATATCAGTTACAATGTATATATATATTTTCCAGTCAAAGTTTCAATCTGATAATGTGTTTCGTTCACGAAAGAGAACAATGAATTGTACGCAACGATTTATATATATATATATATATATATATCTTTACATTACGTTTTACGTTTAAATCTCCGAACATCATTTCTACACTGTGTGTGTGTGTATTGTAATCAAAATCTGTTGATTGTACACGCCTCCTAGTACAAAATAAACAAACACACTCACGTACACTCCCACAAACACACTCACACACACACACACACTGATGATAGATATTTTTGTACATATCTATTGATATACTTACTACTTACTGTAGGCATCGCATCATAAATGCCAACATCGACATCTTTGATAATTTTTCTATTAACTATTATTATCATCCATCTGTCAAACTGTCTTATAATAGACATTTTATATATTGAAAGACAGAACTAAAACAACATTACAAATCATTGCAAACAGAAAAAAAAATGGATTTAACGAGAGAGAGAGAGAGAGCGAGGGAGCGAGCGAGCGAGCCAGAGAGAAAACGACGAGAAGCAGTGAAACGTGGCGTTTCACAAAATTCATAGCTTAGATCAAAAGAACCACACAAAAAAAAGAAAATACTGTCAGTCTGTCATAAATTAAATGATATGTGTGTGGATTTGAGTTTTACAACAAAAAAAATATAAAATAAAAAAATACGCGCGCATTGCTTGTTAACCAAAATGAAAATGACACACATAACAGTGAAGCTGTGTATATCGACAAGTAAAAATAATAATAATAATTATTATTATTATTGTAATTTGTAGAATGAAACAAAAACCCAAATACAAGTTGTTGTTGTTGTTGCTGATGTTGTTGTTGTTGATGATGGTGATGATGAGTAGGTTCTTTAGGAGAGCGCAAAAAACAACAAAAAAATCAACAGCATAAATGATGAATATGATTAGCATGTGTGACATAACTGACTTGAAGCAGAGAGATTGGTAGAAAAGTGGGAGTGAGAGGGAGAAAGAGAGAGGGAGAGGAAGAGAGAGGAAGAGGTGATATTTGTTCTTTATCTAATCTGATGAAAATTAATATTGAAAAGTGAAATATATATATATATATATATATGTATTTATAAATCATAAATTTATATATCTATTCAATGCTTAAAACAAGAAAAGAATTGTTTCCTTCTGACTATTTCGTTTTTTTTTTGTTCTCCATGTCTTTCAAACTAAATTCATATATAGAGAGATGTAGAAAATGGTTATTTATTACTGCGGTAAGACTCGTCTGAATTGCGCATCAGTGACTCTCACTATTGGTCACGTCAACTTACTAGAACTCCGAGAATTTCCTTATGGACCTTAAGCCTTGTTTGGTGTGGACAGTAACTAACTATTAAAGACAATGAGTGAGTGAGGTTATTTAAAACTTTGGATTGATCAAAGTTCTGCACTAACAAACTAATTGGATACTGGTTCAGTGGTCCAGAGGTTAGGCGCTTGCGTGCACAGACAGGACCGAAGATCTTGGGTTCGAATTCTGCGAATAGCAGGAGTCGTGGATGTGCACTAATGATGAGTCTAACATCAGGATGAAACGGCGGCCATCCAGTGTTGTCAGGTTTCTAGCGATGATCTAACAATGATTGACTCATGATTTCAATTAATAAAGATAATCACTTTAGAATAGTAAATTTATGCTGATTGAACTATAAAGAAGCATTGTTCAACGAAAAATAAAAAACTGTCATCGATTCCCGATGAGAATGTTCATAGATGCAATTTATATGCTAATTATTTTGACGAACGAACGAACGAAAAAAAATGTCACTGTCAACGATCAATGTATCAGCTGACGATGATAATTGTTCAATGGTTATTGGTTATTATTTTGCCGACACAAATTCGAATTATTTGAAATAATGTTTTTTTATTTCAATAACTTTTATATAATGATATACACTTCATTGAAATCGGAAACTGATCTAATAAATAAGGTCACATTTTTGAAAACCTCTCAGAAGCTATGAGAAGGGAACCAAAGATTTTCGATTTTGCCTGAGACAATTTAATTAATCATTCGAATAATAAATCCACAACAGTGGACAACACTATCTTCCACTTTATCTTCTGTGAGTACCCTCCTCATCATAATCGACTTGTTTCGTATACACCATCTTCATTTGTCACATATTCTGTCTGTTTGTTTGATTGATCAACAGTGATATGAAATCTTATTTGTACTACTAAAAACAATACCCATTATCAAAGCTGTGAAATGCAAATATGGTTACCCGTAAGCTCAAGGTTGAAGAGATCGTAGTAAATTACATAATGAACTGCAAACAACAAACTTCCATTCCAGCGAATAGTTTTTATTCAATACAGCCGGCTGTCAGAACGAACTTCGCTCCCAATGAAATCGGACACTCCAAAACTATCTATGTAAAGAGATCTCTAAACTGTGAAACCATGGTTTATTTAACTTTGTCCAGTTAGTGACTTTATAACTCGGTTCGTCTTTACAAAATGGGGTTGCTAAGCCTACACCCGGAACCTATGATTGGTGATAACTTTAGATGGGCTCCTGGCGAAGTTAATCCACCTGAAACATTACGATACTTATTGAGTTCTTTTGCCACTTATAGTTAGTTACATGTCGTCTTCAAAACCGATTTGACCAATGGTGTTAATGTCTAACTCTGGTCAATCTAAGGTTATGTTCAACCTCACCCACACACTGTCTTCGGTAGTACTAGGACTATATTTAAAATTTACTCAATTCTCATAACTTAATTTCCAAACTTAAAATACCCATTCATGTGGCTAAACTGTTATTTTTCTTTCATAAACTAATACACATCTGATTCATATTATCTTCAAATAAACTGATTTGATTGGTTCATATCATTGTTCAATTAGAATGCAGTTAGATGTGGTTTATGACATAGTCAACTTATGATTGGTCGAAACATTTTCAATGAAATTTAATGACATTGGTTTATATGATGGCAATAAATATTTCAGCACATTGAGAAAAATTTGAGTCTTCAAAACAATCACTGGTGATTTATATACATTACGTTCTTAAAGATAACCAACATACGGATATATTATTTATTTTAAAAAGAAAACATTTTTTATTGAAATTATGCGAATACGACAACCACGATTCGATAGTCCAGTTCAATCACCAACAACAACTAATGAAATGAGAAAACACCTGATCAATCCATCATCACAAGGATCTTCCTATAAAATCAACGATTCACAACAATGTAAATCAAGACAAAATTCGCCTCGTTGTTTATCTTCAACCGATGGTTATGTGTCATCGATTTCCGGCACGTCCGAGGCATGTGAAGATCCAACCAATACATATCTTAATCCGGATTTCAATGATTCACAATTAACAACAAAAGTGAGTTTGAAAATTTTTGATTTATATATTCATGTAACCATTACTTATTATAAGACGATTAACTGAAGCATTGCCAGTCGTAATCATATAAACATATTGATTTGAAATAAGCGATTTCTGTCTGGCACATGACTTAACACAGCTAGGTACTAAAACATTGTATACCCTACACAAAAGCTGTGAGCATTGTGATACCAATTAAGAGCCTAAACCAAATTGGGTGGTTTTCTCAGAGACCGACTGTCCTGGTCTTCGAACTGAGCGTTTAATCTGTAATGTCACAGAGTGACATCAAGAAACATCGTTCATTGGTAGACAGGTGATCAAATATAGTTGCGTACAGAATATTTTGAATTCCGATATATACCAGTAGTTCAAAATCAAGGCTTATCAACTAACTACTGCTGATCGTGTCTCTCAGTATTATTCATCAGCTAGTTTTATCACCAGAACTTTGTTTCTCATCTTCCTAAAAAAAACGAATGACAGACATTTCGCGGATAAAAATTTATTAATAAACCGTTTATGTAAACATCAACAACTTGCAAAAAATGTCAACTTCATACTGATATTTATCTTATCGAATTCTCTCAGTGCTAACAATACGAAAATCTCTTTTACGCTAACAATATATTAAAGGCGTAATTTCACACACACACACATTGTTACTGCCTTATTTTCTGTTAAAAATATTAACAAATAAAGTCACATTTATTTTTTTTGGCCAAAAAATAAAAAGAATTAACTATAGTTAAAATATTGCGAAAAATTGTTACATTGATCAATGGTTGTTTGTTTATTTACTCGTTTTTTTTGTTGACAGAACAGTAACAGTTGTGAAGTACAATTCCTTTTTATTTATTGATGACTTGATCTATTAATTGGACGATAACTGCATAATTTATGTGTTAGTACTATTAACAACAATATATATATATATATTTATATAAATAGTTCAGTTAACCTGGCATCCGTTTGACAATAAATCTATTACCATATACATACGTATATATGTATATATTACTTAATTTATCGTTTGTAAATTTAAAAGATTACTTTATCATGTGATAAACATTTCAAAAGACAATTCGTCTTATAAAATTGGTAGATTTTCTAAAACTTATTCATGTTGTAAAATAAATAACACTGAAAGTGTGGATTGATCATTGTGTTAGAATACCGTGAGAAACATAAAAAAGCACTGGACAATTGTTTCGTTCTAGTATGGGACTCATCAACGGTGCGTATGCACGACATGCACACACACACACACTGAGTAAGTAGTCCAGTCCAGGATCTTGCACACGAACGCACGAACTTCTAGACCTCCTCTCTATTGATGAGTTCCATCCATACTAGGACGAAACGGCTGTCCAGTCACATTTTTTTTTATTGTACTTCATACCTATAGAAATGTAGAATGATAACACTTCATTTTCAAACTGATATTTGATCAAAGTTTTAAATTTGTTTTACTGTACACATAATTGGAACTTTAATTTAAGATTATTAATTTTAGAATGGTTTTGCACTGTTGTAATGTGTATTTTACATCTTTATTTTCAGTCATGGTTGATCTAAAAAAAGTAATTAGCTTTGGATGTTAGTTTATTTACTTAAAAATCATGAAAGTTATTAGCTGATTTATTAAAAAGTAGTATCGATGAAAGCAGGTACTAACTAGAGCTTTCTTATGTATGCTCTATTCTTGAGGCACAGATAACTTGGTTCATAAACTCTATTATGATTCATACGAGGTCCATTTGTAGACATGCTTATATAGAAGTAATCTTACTGTTTATCTTGTACCACAAAAAGAAAAAACGTTCAACCTACAAACTTTATTTGTAATGAATTAGTGTTCACATGCTAAACAACTGGAAGGCCGAAGAATTCCGGCTAGAAGGTGTAGTTTTTTTTTTTTAATTAGATTTCCAGGAAGAAAGTTATCATTATCCTAATTGTAATCTTACCGTCAAGTCTGAACACATAGTTTTGTGCTACTGTACCGCAGCATTATTAGTTAGGTACATTTACAAACACAAATTTTTAGCAAAAGTTTAACTAATCTGTTTATAAGCAAGTCGCTGATTCGTACATCGTTATTAATCCATATATATATATACATATATTACAGGTTAATAGTTCAGCCATGAGACTGAAAGTCGTGGGTTATGAAGAACAATCAAAGCTCCACAACCAAAACATCCCGCTCAGAGAATGAAACTCCATCACAGTTCGTAGGTGCACACTGTCAAGGAGTTCAATACTAGAACGAAATCACTAACTAGTAATTTGAGGTTTGCGTTAGTGGTCTTAACCTGGTTCGGTTAAGGATCTCTCTCTCTCTCCACATGTAAACATTAGTACTAATAGGTGAAAAACATATATGATCTCTACACTAATCATTTGATTTCTGTCAGCTGAACCACTACTCAGGTGCCCGATAGGCAAAAGGTAGTTTTTGATTAAAGGTTCACCCTTTGGACTTTTTTTTCAAAACGTTTGATCTATAAGAATGTGGACAAACGTCAGGAGATGAATTCCTACATAAAGCGACAGATATCGGTTGTTTGTCCACTCAATTTTCATAAAAAGCAACCCCCCACTGCGAAAATTCAATGATTCTATTATATACGTGACTGACTATACGACAGTATCTCCAGAGAGAGAATGTGAACTACGCTCACTGCCAAACCGGGTTATTTAAGGCATAACTGATATGCATTTATATGTTTCCGCACAGGATTTTAAAGATCATAAAATTTATCTCAACCTAATTTCAACTGTTCATAAATTTCAACCTTAACTTCTCTTCACTAGATATACAATTATTGACAAATTATCATCTACTTAAATCAATACTAAGTAACACTGTTGTTCTTCTGGAGATGTAAGAATAATCTGGAAAAAAAAAAGAAATTTTTATCAAATAGAATGACTTCATCTTATTCTGTTTTTTTTTTACACTTCATTTACTCAATGAATTAATTAATTAGCATATACATTTTTGATTACTAATTAATTATTAGATAAATTTAAAAAAAAAATGATTTTACTTCTCACAAATGAGTATTAGACTGTTTAATTTGTACAGTGTTAAAAAGTTTCATCTTGTCATAAGAATAATCATAATAATAATAAAGTCATTAATCAAACGCACACACAAGCAAATGTCTACTAATCTTTCAGTTGACACATTTCATTTAAGGTCAAAACTTGCTTGCTTGCTGTAGAGTGTAATTTTTTTTTGCATAAAACAGAATTATTCAAACACAAGTTTTGTAGTTGATTTGTTTGTACTCAATATTACATATGTATATATTGCTAAAATCTAATTACCTAGTTCTGAATGACTCACCATTGATATTTCTTAGAATAGCAGCTATCTATTCTCCATAAAAGTAACATTTATATTTTTTTGAAAACCTGAAAGCACTGAACTCATCAGCAGCGGGCAACCACGACCCTCGCTCTCGGGAGTCCGAACCTCATTGTAAAGAATCACACTGTTTTCTTTCAAATCAAAAATTAAGATGAATGAATTATTGAGAAATCTGTCCATTTTGTTATTTACATGTACATACAGTTATTCAAACACTTATCACTTGTATAATAAGGCCAGGACGTCAATCACATATATATATATATGTACGATGTTAGACTGAACAATATTAGTTAATCCAGACTACCTAGTTACAGTTTTTCGGAACTATTGAAACCACCATTTCAAATCTTTGCGAGGGCATAACTCATAACTCAACACATTGCACAATGGTACCAATGTAAACATTATTTTTTTCTGTTCATTCAGATCTTACTTTGATTATCTCATCAGTTCATTCTTTATCACTGAATCACACTGTCTACATCCAATGTTCACTACGCTTTTAGTGTAGTGTTCACTAAATCTGCTACACAAGTATTTGTTTAAACTATACTATGTTGATTGTAAATAACTAGCTGACGACTATACAAGTGTACATTAAGTCTATGAAATTACTAGGTTTTGATGCTGTATCTATGAGAAAAGAGTTCATTCACCATTAAAATTTTAATATTTTATCATGGTTTTATTAGTACATTTAATGTTTACCATGCATTTTCTGTAGTCATTACACTGTGTAGTGTCTTGTTCAAAGATTACTCATTTTTAATTGGGTAGTCCATAAATTTTAAATTGACTATGTATTATTTAAAATGAATATTAAAAAAATTGAACATATAATACTGAGAAAGAGATTGTACAAAATTCAATTTATTCCCTATTGATCAATGAACAATTTTAATGTAACGAACGCATTAGTTGTAGAACTTGTAACATCATCATTCATTGATTGATTAACAATCATGCTGATTATGCTCATCTCAACACTTAACAAGTTTAAACAGTTGCTCCCAAACAAAAAAACTACAAATCTTCAATACATAAACACCGTTGGATCACGGCCCACTGTGGTCCGATGGTTAGGCGTTCGCGCACAATACCGAAGGCCCCGAATTCTAATCCTGCGAGATGCAGGAGTCGTGGATGCGCACTGCTGACGAGTCCCATACGAGGACGAAACGGCCCCAGTCCAGTGCTTCCAGGTTTCTATTGGTGGTCTAACAATGATTGATTGATTGATGATTTCAAATGTGTGTAAAAACACAAATCTCCAAAGCTCTAACTGAAAATATTGTTATTACGATTACTTCTACTACTACTACTACTACTACTACTACTACTACTACTACTACTACTACTACTACTACTACTACTACTACTACTACTACTACTACTACTACTACTACTACTATGATTATCCTGTTCACATAAAACAAACAACTCCGCTTAACCGCAATAATCTAAATAATAATTAATCTATTTTCTTCAATTTTAACACGCACACACACACACACACAAATAAAACACCAACGAACCTGACAGTTTTATGGGCATCAATAAATAACATCAATAAATAACTATGTATATATATGCGTGTGTGTGTGTGTGCGTGTTTGTGGAAGTGTACATGCAGTTCCCTACTACTTTCACTTACAAGCTGAAACAAAAAAAGAGCATTTAGTCTTTTTTTTCTGATTTAAACTAACTTGGCCAACTATGTATGTAAGATAAATATTTCCGTAATTGATGATTCTTTTATTTTTTTATCTACGAGGATTTTTGTGGTGTGTATGTGTGTAGGTGTGTGTGTGTGTGTGGTGCATGTTATGTGTTCTAGTTGAAATGGGGGTAAACTACTAGAAATAAAAGTTCATAAATCTTTCCACTGAATGGAACTTATTTTACACAGGTGGTCGACTTTGATTTTAAAAAAATAATAAAATAAAATAACATCGAAATCAAACAACACACAGTAAAATCATCAACATCGTCATCATCATCAACATTATTGGCATTAATGAAGAGTTTTGAGAAGAATCGGTGGGCACTTTTGGTCAAATTGTCTAGGACCTAAATCATCACATAAATCATAGATTACAAATTTAAAACAAATTTATTGTCATTTATTTAAGTAATATATATTTTTTTTGATTGGGAAAAATACTTATAAAACAGATTTAAAACAACAGATGTTATACTCGTTGAATAAATAAATATACTCGCTTTGAATGTGATTCATTGTGCATTTTAATTTTTTTTAAAAAAAATAAGGTCGATGATCCATCCGCATTACGATTTGGTTTTAATAGTATCATACTTTTATTGAATATTGAATTTAAATGTAGTAATACATACACGTTGATGCATAATTTTGTCGGGAATGCGATAAGCTTTAGAGTGGAATGATTATATATATATATATATATATATATATATATATATATATATATATATATATATTAAATAGGCTCACTGGTGACTAGCTTCGTGAAAAAATTCTCGGAGTTCTAGTGAGAGAAGCTGTGACCAGCGAAGTTCATTCTCTTTTGGATGTAGGCGCACTTGTCCACCCGGAGACAATGAGTGATATAGTGCATGCACTATGAGGGATTGATTAAAGTTAAACGTTAGCAGTGTTCTATGCCACCGGGCTCAGTGAAGTATAGTTTAAGCGTTCGCGATTAAGACCGAAGGTCTTCGCTTGACTTCTTGGATGAGGAGTGCTAACGAATCCCCCATACTATAAAACTCTAGTACTTCCAAATTCCTTTCAAACGGTTGTTAAAAAATTGATCAGTTCATGATTTCAACGAAACTCAACATTTTTCTGCAACTCTCTTGTCACAATATAAAATCGACATCAGTCAGCATCAGTCAATATTTTTTTAAATAGTATAATCTCAATAAGTTAGGTTAGTTTTTCTCACCTTAGAAATTGACCTACATTATATCTTTAACTAGTACAAATCTGAGAAATTTAATTATTTTTCCAGTGATAATATATTTATATATTTCAAATACTTCTTACAATAACTGAGTCCATTTATCATGTATGTATTGATTATAAGATTAATACTATAGCTGAAACAGTTTTAATGCACTTTGTTAGGAGAAACTATTTGACTTGATGAACAATAAAAAACGTATGACCTAGTCATTTATGTAAATCATGTTAAGTTAACCTTTACTAATCAATCATGGTAACAGAGTAGAAATTAACTAAAGGAAGAAATTGTTTATTTTCTAAACAATACTAACTTAAAAAAAATCTTAAGAAAGGTGAAAGATGAATCTGTTATCTATGAACAATTTTGAGTATTGAGTTCCATTTTACCGAGACCTAAAATGAGCACGGAAAAAGGTTCAAAAGAACAATGTCCCTCTAATATCATTATTCTCTGTAACATTGGATTGCTAAATATTTTAATTGATGTTTTATAACAATCCTGTCAGAAATTATTTATCAATGGATAAAATTGTCTTGATTTTATCAGTCGAATTAAGAATATCACTATCAGTCAGTCAGTCAGTTACAACGTAGAACTTCGTACGTATGTACATCAGTTCATATTGCCATACCATGTTAGCTAGCAGAGAGACGCAATTGTCAGTTCAAATCATATAGTGGTAGAGATAGTTAGAAGGATTAGCGGCAATGGAGAAGATTAGAATTTGAAGATATTATTCAAGAAGAATAATTCAATGAGATAAGTTTAGGAAGACATAAGTAGAAGTGTTGATAAATCCAGAAGATTAGGATTTAAGAGAACATAGGCAGTGAAGGCACCTGCGCCATTGCACCAGCGACTCTGAGCCATGTCATTCCAGGTCTCTAACCATCGGTCACGTTCGTCTCGCGGACCCCAACCAGGTAGCCTACATCTGCCAACATGGCTCAGGCCATTTCTAACTTTTTTTGTGTACAAAAAAGTGGGTGTCACTTCACACTCTGTACTCGTTTTCTACCAGTCAATGAAATTAGATGTGTTTTTTTATGTAACTACATTGAGTGTAACAACTTTAATATTTAAATTCCAAAAGAAGGAATTACAGTCAGTCTTTCTTCGATGCACTCTCAATGTACCACCATTCAGATTTAAATAATAATTTCTAGAAACAAACTGACAGAGTAGTAATGGATTCACCTTCGGCCGCCCTTCATCATAGCTGAATAATTAATTCATGGTTAGTGTTAGAAAATACGCTACTTCAAACAATAGCTAAGAGTCTCCATTTAAAAAAAAACTGATAGTTAGTTAAATAACACTTTCATCATTCGTGGATCTTCATGAAATTCTACATCACTTCAATGATGGTCATCATCCAGTTCGATTGATTCACATGGAGAAACAGAAGACAATGAGGAATATCACTTTCTTGATTTGCTGTTGAGGCGAATGCTACTAGATGATTCTTTGAAAAGATCTGTTTATACAGAAAACCTACTTTGGAACGGTCATTATACAAAATTTCCATAGCTTCGTCCCATTCAGTAGAAAAGCGAAACTTAATCCATTCTTTATCCTCAAAGAGTTAGTGACAAAAATGCTTATCAGAAAAGTCCATCCACTCAGATTGGTCAATAGGGAGGAATATAACACTACGTACGACAAGAGAGATAGTTCAAAAGAAACAGTTTGTTTTTTACATGAACATCAAATTTAACCGGAGATACAATTGCGGCAATCTTGAATAAACAGATTGTCAAAAGGCCTAAATAAAACGTTCTATTCGATGAAAACTTAGCGTTGTCTTCTCAAGCCAGTCTACCATTCACTATTTTTCTTAAATTTTTAAGCAAGAGAAAATAAATAGTGAGCAAAACAAGAATAACATCATTACGTGTAGTGGAAATATAACTTCTTCAGTTCATTCATTCGGTTCACAGACAAAGAAATACAACGGTAGTATCGGGGAAAAGAAAGAGTTTAAACAATGACATAGTTTTTATTTCAAGATTTATTTGAACATAAAGTATCAATAAGTTCAGATATTATTTTTTCAGTTTGTATTAATTATTCACTGGAAATCGATTAAAGAGAATACTGAAAAAGTTATTGAAATCATGAATCAGTTATTGAAAGATCATCACCATTAGAAACCCTTGGAGCACTGAACAGCAGTTTCGTTCTACTGTACGACTCTTCAAAGTCTCGCTCACGTGGTGCGGTGCTCACTAGTGATTAGCTTCTTGGGTAAAATTCTTAGAGTTCTAGTGAGAAGGCGTGATCAGTGGAGTTCAACGCTGTCGGGTGTAGACAGTAACTACCGGAGACAAGGAGTGAGGTTGCTCAACATCCGTAGACTGACCAAAGTGAGACATTTATGCCCTTGAATATGAGCTCATCGATCTGGAGGTTAAGTGTTCACATGCGGGACTGAAGGTCTGGGGTCGGGTTCCCGCGTGTGGCGGTGATGGATTCGCTGTGCTGATGAGTCCCGTGCTAGGACAAAATAGGACCAGGTTTCCAGATCTAACAATCATTAATTCACGATTTCAATGTAAAATAACTATATCCATAACTCTTTGACGAAAAAAAAAATCATATTTGTTTGCTGACTATGTCACTCAATTTTTAACGATTATAACGATGTTGTTGATATTTGTAATATATATATGAGAAGTAGGTAATGAATGTAAGAAGGCATCGAAACTTTTGCACAATAATAATAATAATAATACCAATACTAGTAATAATAATAATAATAATAATAATGATAATCATAAGTATAATTACAATTATTACCACTACTATTTTTATTTTTGATCAGAAAAAAATTCCACCTTAGCTGACAAAATGTCACACTTCATGCGAACGGATTTAATAATATCCTAACACGTGACTGACTGACTACAAGCTGGGAAACATACACACCACAACTACTGACAAGAGTAATGTGAATATGAACATTGATAATGTAAATTTAATATGATTGTTACTTTTGTTTTTAACGTTTATTTCTATATTATTATTATTATTATAATTATTATTATTTTTTATTTTTATTGTTTTTTTCATAAGCAGAAAAAAAGACGCACCATTCTCTACATAGTAAATTAATTAATTAGTTGACTAATCATAATAATTAACTTTCCATAGTGCTTGCTATTCTATTCTATTCTATTCTCTTCTGTTGTCTATTGTCTAAAAAAAAAAGTGTTAGACTGTCCAATGAGAAGCATGATTGTACATTTGGTTAGTCAATGAAAAGTAATGGCGGCTAACAAAATAAATTAATGATCACAGTAATCAAAAGAAGAATCAGTTTGTTTGTTTGTTTTGATTAGGTCAACAAATCATTGTACAACAATGATGAAAGAATGTTGACATTTCCAAGTAAACATGGATGGATGATATGAGGCAGTGAGTGAATTTATCTGTCGGCGGAAGGTGATATAAGGTGATGTAATTGAGTAAATAGTTACTATGAATATATATATATATATATATATATATATATATATATATCAGGTGACGATAGCAAGAGTTATTCATCAACTATGGTATGTAGATTTGTTTAAAATGAAAAATTAGAAATATTATGTCGTCATTATCATCATATTAGCTAAAGATAGACTGATTTTTATGTGTGTGTGGATTTCAGACGGAAAACAATAAAAACCAGCCACTATCAACAACAGCAACATCTTTATTTCCAAAATTGACTTGAAATTACAAACTATTCCATGTTGACAATTAGTTAACAACGATTAAAATTCAGGTTGTCGCATAGATAAATCATTATAAGAGACAAATCCCTAACTCACCACAATTTATTAAGTTTATTCTAATGTTCCGTGATTATTTTCAAAGAACTACTGCATGGATGTGTACGCATACAGTGACACATGTTTGCAGGCGCCATTCATTGTTTCACTTTTCCTTACTTGTTTGTGCTTTCTATGACTTTGTATGTTTCCCAAGTGTTCCCATGAATCGTAACATCGGTACGCATAATGAAAGTAACAATCATCATGTTAGAATACAAATAATAATAGTAGTAGTAATAATAATAATAATGATAATCATAAATTGTCATTCCGTCCTTGTTTTATCGATCCGTTCATTCATCCAACGGTAGACAGTCTGCAATCGAAAGCTGGGAAAAAAACAAAACAGAAACACAGCAATTTTTATGGGTGATTAAGAATAGATTGTGTTTCTCAAGTAAAAAATAAATCATACATTGTTGTAATAATCGTAATAATACTACTGATAATGATGACGATAATAATAATAATTAGCATGAAAGACTTGGTTTCACTGAAAATTGTCACCGAAACCTGAATATGACATTGATTTACCTGTCTGTAATCGATATAAGCAATGTATTATCTCTAGGAGATGTACATATTGTTTTTCCCCCTTAAATATCAGGCCGTTTTAAATTTGCCGCCATTGTTCAAGTTCCAATCAGTGCGAATTGTCTAGTACAATGATTTAATAATATTATTATTAGTAAAAGGAAGCATGAAAACATAAGAGCACAGTGGAAGTGATTTATTACACAAAAGATATATATATGGACATATATATATATATATATATATATTTCGTCTATACAACATTAGTATTGTATAGTGGTTCCATTATATATATATATATCTACATATGTATATATATATTAATTAAACCGAGAAATGTCTAATCACTACAAAAGATTGTGTGTACTCATTAGAAAAAAAAACACAAAAATTGATAATTTATGGTTTGTTTATGCTAGTAGACAATCAAGTAAATCGTATATAAATGTAATCACGAATTAATGGTTTTTGTAAGCGTTCAAATTTACGCGCCTCTATCTGTGTGTACGTATGTATGTATGTATGTGTGCAGATTGATTGAGAACTAGACAAACCAAAAAAAACAAAAACAACAACAACAATTGGTCGAAAGTGAAAGCATGGACATTGAATGCATTGTTTAAAATGAACAACAAAAGACAGTTTTGTTTGCCGCCAAAATTGAAACACATTTGATCATAAATATTAGACTATTAATAAATATATAGACACAGTGAATGAACTGAACCTCAAAAGCAAAAAAAACACACAAAATTAAGCAAAGACCTCTAGTGAAAATGCGATTAAATATAAAAGGGCTAATGATAATCTATTTTTCATTGTTTGTTCTCTATGATCTAGAACATAATTGCTGATGTGCCATAATAAGCAAGCATTGTGTTACCAAAGCTTTAGGTGCAAAAACATTTTTTATAAACTGAGCGAGAGAACTACTCTGTGCTGTTGAACTACGATGATGGTCATTGTAGATTTAGTTGGATGCCAGCCCAGTGGTCCGATGGTTAGGCGTTCGCTCACAATACCGAAGGACCTGGGTTCGAAGCCTGTGAACTGCAGGAGTCGTGGATGAGCACTGCCAGTGATGAGTTCCATACAAGGACGAAACGGCCGTCTTTCCGTGCTTTCAGGTTTCTATTGGTGGTCTAACAATGATTGATTGATAATTTTAAAACAGATTTAGTTGTGTTGAAAGATGTGCCCTTTATTCCTAAACTACTCATACATTATTCATTGACTACTGGCTTTTAACATGATATTGTTATTGAGAAATAATTAACATTTATTAGTTTTTATGTAGCTGTAGAGAAACTAACGACATGCAACCATTGTCTCCACTAAATACTGCCGTTTTTGTTTTTTCTAAAGTATTCTCTACGGAACAGCATAATTAACTATAAGAAACCAAATCAATGAACGAAGTGTATTCTTTTCAAAGAAAATTATTTTCATCAAGTTTCGGATTTATAAGTTATGAGAATATAAGATTCTTATCTAAGTTATAGTGGATCTTTATCCATTGAGATGGTTGGGACACGAGTTACGTATACCCAACCACCGACTCCCTTGACGAATGATGTTGTCTAGTGCAGGAGTAGGCTGAAAGAAAGCTAGGGGCGGCAACATCAAAAGAGGAGACAAATTCATAAAGTCTTAGCCATGTCAATAGGTGTACATTACCTGTAATAGCACAGATGTATCTCCTATTCAAATTTTTTCTTCCAGGATTATACTCCTTCAATCACATCTTAGCTCCCTTCTCTTTTCCATTACCGCTAAATCTTTTACACTACCTCTATCCCTATGGGATTTGAATTGACAACTCGACCTTTTCATATCAACTGTCACAGAATACAAACAAATTAATATTATTTATTGTACATTAAGACTAATTTAATTATGAGAAATGCAAAAAATGGAAGGTGTATTATTTCAACATTTAACTCTATATAAATAATGACATTCTTGTCACAGTTGATTAGGTTAGTTAGATCAGATGATCATTGGTTGTAATACAAACTTATTTTTTCATTGTTGTATTACAAAAATCTTATTTTATATCGGGGCAATTTGATGATCATTGTTCTAACTAATAAATATTTGGCTATACTGAATATTTTCTACTGAGATTTAACGAATACGTTGACCACTTGTTTGTCAGTCAGTCAGTCAGTGAGTTAGATAGTTATAGACAACATTGTACCTGGAATTTGTGTACATCAGATCAAGTTGTCACATTATATTAGGACAGTGAGATGAAATTCTAAGGAAAAATGGCAGAATAACATCAAAATCCTATGATGAGTAAAGTTGTGTCAGTTAAATTGTTATTGTAATATGTTCGCTTGCAATATTTTTGTACCACTTTGTTATTAATGATGTCCGCACTGTGCATATTTATATCTTTCATCATAGGGTTGTGGAGATTGTTGGGTTTCATGGAAATCGTAAAATCGATCATTGTTAGAATACCATTCGAAACCTGAAAGCACTGGACGGTCACTTTGTTCTAGTATGCGACTCATCAGCAGCTGGTCGATTCCCAGAGTTCCAGAGAGAAGTCATGACCACTGGAGTTCAAACCTGTCCAGCGTAGGCAGTTCTTCATTGAAGAAGGTGAATGGGGTCGCACAACATAGTAGTGGACTGACTGGAGTCAGACATTAATTTTGTAGGATGCCAGGTTAATAATGGTCTCGAGGTCAAGTGTTTATGGACCAAGATCTCGGGGTGGATTGTTCATTTCTGTGGTCCCGGATGTGCGCTGCTAATTAGTCCCACACCAGGACAAAACGGCTGTCCAGTGCTTCCAAGTTGCTAGTAGTAGTCTATCAATCACCGATTCGTGATTTCAATCAAGCATTTATATCTGTTGCTTTTAAATTCTGAAAACTAACCATTCGTTTAACAATACCAGTTCAACTAAAATCATTTAACTAGTATTCCGAACTATGTATATATATATATATATATATATATATATATATCACGTAGATAGATGCCGAAGACCATGTTGGGGTCCGCGAGACATTAGTAGCCGATGGGATTTGAATTGACAACTCAATTGCTGTGTACTTGTGTGATATGGCAACTTGAACTGATTCGGACGTAACTCTATCGGGTTCCACTTTGTTTCTGGCCGACTGGTCAATATTTAATGATGAGACGAAATCTGTTTACCTAATTAATGACTAGCTACATTTCAAATCAAATAAAACAATTACTATTGTTGTTTTTTTTTATAAAAATCAATCAATAAAATCACTATGATTCATATTACCGGCCTTTCATGTTAATCGTTTTTATATTTATTGACATATTTTATTGAATTATTGCGTTTTCACAAAGTAGAAAGTACACTTTGTAGTGTGTGTGTGTGTGCGTATGCGTGAGAGAGAGTTGTTTTCATCATTTTAAACAAAGGCAATCAAAGTTTGTTTATGCGCGCATGTTTCATTGCATAAATCACAAAGTTTCAATTTGAATGAATGAATGAATGAATGTGTAGATTAAATTTCATAAGACCTTTGTTTTTTTTTTTAAAAAAAGAGTCAAACTATTGTTTGTTTCGGTGTAAATGTTTTTCTGTATAAATATCCAAGTATCTGTGGTTTGT